ATTCCAGAGAGCAAAGGTTTATCCAACTGTCACAAGCAACTACATAGATATCAAAGGCTTCTGTAAAGAGTGTCAAGGCCATGTTAAAATGACATGTGACAGAGAGCCAACAGTCAACAGCCCAATGGTGCTCCAGTGTTCCATCGAGGACACCAATATCTCCCTGCACACTAGGCAGTCCAAGAGGTTCATGTCTGGAAACCTTCGTGCACAGATTTCAAAAGACCTGTGTGAGGGCAGGATGGAGCCAGCCGTATGGAGGTCAGCGAAGGCATCCGATTTGATGGATATTGGAGATCCTGAGCCAAGTCACCTGCCAAATTTGGCCACCCTACGAAAAGCTAAGCAGGAGAGAAGAGATCAGGAATTAGGTGACAAAGATCCCATTTTGTCTTTGCAGTTATTAAAACATAGCACACCTCACAGTGGTAGTATAAGAGACATTGGTCTGGACAAGTTCTTCTGCCACTATTGGAGTCCAACACAGCTACATGTATATAACACATTGTCCAAAAAATGTCCCTCTGTAGTTTGCTTTGATGCAACAGGCTCAGTTGTGAGAAGACTGGTGAGACCAAATGGAACATCTGGCCACATCTTCTTATATCAAGGTGTTCTGACAGGGGACAACTGCTCGGTCCCAGTTGTGCAAATGCTGTCAGAGAGACACGACATAAATGCAATTGCAACATGGCTTACAGAATGGCTTCGTACAGGTGCTGCTGTACCAAAGGAAGCCGTGACTGACTTCTCCCTGGCTATTCTCGGTGCTCTGGTGAGGGCCTTCACTCCTTACCCTGATCTGAAGGCATACATTAACGAATGTTTCCGTCTGCTACTTGGAAACAAGTCAGCAAACTGTCCTCCATGTTTTATCAGAGTTGATGTGGCACACTGCATAAAGATGATCTGCCAGTGGGACTGCCTGAAAAACAAGTCACACCGTGTCAAAGACTTCTTTGTCAGAGCAATAGCCAAGCTTCTACAATCACAGTGTTTGGACCATGCAAAACAGCTGATACATGCGATCACTGTTGTGGCCCTCAGTGAGGCAGAGGGTGATGATAGCTCTGGAGTTCCTCTGGAATCAGAGAGGTGCAAAAAATATCTAAAAACACAGATAACAGAAGACTCCATCATTCCAGCCGAAGACACAAAGGAAGTGCATCAAATGGAACCTTTAGACGAGATCCAGACTGACCTTCGAGACTGGGTATCAAACATATGCGAGAAGAGCAGGTCACTCGCTGCAGCCAATGGGGACAGGGATAACATCCATTTCCTCCCTGAGATTGTTCCACACATTATAAGACTTGCAAGTTACTTGCCACTTTGGACAGGAGTAATGGTCCCCCTCTTCAGAAGCACTAGCCTCACTGCAAGCTCAGCCACTGTGGAAGCAGAATTCAAAAATGTAAAACATGGCCTTTTTAAACATGAGAACTTGCCCATTAGACTTGATCGATTTATTTCTCGTCATCTTTCCTTCATCGAAGGAAAAATGAGGATTTGTTCTGGAAAAGTAAAACATGAAATAGCTGGATTAACAAAAGTTTCAGAAACAAACTCTGCTTCCATGAGCACCCACAGTGCTGAAGCCAAGAGAAGAATAGATTCTCACCATTCTCCAGAACTTGATGAAACAAACATTCCGCCAACAGATGAAGATGTGGTAGAAAACTGGAGGGGACTAATTCTTCCACCGAAAAAAAGGAAGAGGACTTCATATCTTACTTCCTGCACTGAATGGCTCCATGCAGATCCATCTGTTCGGGGAAAAAGAGTGAAAGTGGGACTATTAAAAAATGGAAACCTGCATCAACCTATTAAAGTTGGAAAATTAACAATATCTGTCCAGAACACATGTGCATTTGATGCTTTCTGTCAGTGCTTATGCTGTGCTTTCTGTGACAGCTCAGCATTTCAAAATGTTGTCAGGAATGACAGTGACAACCCCATCTTGCAGCTTGTGAAAGCCATTACTGCAGAAATTTGACCCCAAAGATATACTCACAGAGGGCAGAGCTGCTTAGTGCAATGTTTCAAAAAATCGAGTTGAAGTCTGGAGCCCACCAAATCGATGCCCAGTGCAATATCTCCACTGTCATTGGTAAAACAATGAGAAATGTATCAAGCATTTACCTGTCTAAACACTGCTCTTCTCAGTACTGCCAGCTAAACAAAGGAACAACTAGGGAAGTACCATTTGTTTCTCCTGACATTTCTGTCCTGATGAAGTCTGGCTTGGCTCAGCTTGGTACTTCAGTCGAAAATGGACTCTTACTTCCAGAGTCTACCTGCCTTCGCCAACTACAGAAAGAATCAGAATGTCCAGTTGCATTCAAAACAGGAGACAGCACGTCAGGGAAAATACTCTGTGCAGGAACTCTAACTCACAGCTACCGAATTGGAGAAATAGCATGGATTGTCACTGACCTCTTACAAACTACTCAGTTTACTTTGAGTGAATTTCCCTCCGTTGTGGCTCTCCAAGGAAAGACATTCACTTTGAGAGGAGTCATCGTTTTCAAGGGAAGCTTGACCAAAGATGTTATGGGACATTACACTGCATACTGCCGTAGAGCTCCATGTGTGTGGGAGCTTTATGATGACCTGGCAAAAGCAGTGAAGACAGTGTCAGAGAAGGAAAAAATTCAACCACATGCAGCATTATACACAGCAGACTGAATGCTGTGAATGAACACATTCCACTTGGAAGTTTTCAGAAGCCCAGGTCAAAAGCAAATAGTTTGTTATTGTTTGATATTATAATTTATTTATAGTCAGACCATAAACAGGTTGTGTTTTATGTTTTTTGTGACCAATTATTACATGGCAAAGTATGTTTAAGTGTACCAATGGTGGTTTATCGAAATGTTTTAGTTTGTAATTCTTTTCTTATTACATCTCTCAAAGATATTTTTTTTTCAAAGAGTTTGTATACCTGTTATATACAAAAGATATTAATTTACAATTATCAACAAGTCCCTTTTTCGTTTTGTTGTGACCATGTCTCAGTGTGAAAAAAAGATGTTCAATCTTTAAACATCAGAATGTTCAATTGTTAAAAAAAAATCATTTTCCAAAAGAAAAGTGTTTGTTATTCTTTGAAAGTATAATGTATATTACATTTTCAAACATTACATTGGATATATGTGATCTTAGAAGTCATGGTTCATTACTTTTTTCAATTAATTATAATCGAAAACCTTTACTGCTCCACAATAAGGAAATGTTGGTGTCCGCAACAAACCATAAAGAAATGAAAGTATACAGGTTCATGTCATTAAAAAGGTAGAAGATGTTCCAGGCTAAAAGTTATAACGAACAAAATGCAAAAACAAAAAGGCTGAATATGAGTTACAGTGAAGGACTGGAGAAATACAATACTGAGCGGGTAACAGAACGTTATTAATGTGCCCACCTAATGTGGATTTACCTTATTGTAAAACCCAAGTATGAAATGTTAAAGATTCCAATAAGGACACAGGTAAGTTTTGCTGGAAATGAGACAAGATTCAGAAAATTCTACATAATTTATTAAGCTTCAATAACGTCTTTAATTGCTGATAACCTGAATTTCATTAGTGAATACATTTAACGAAAATTTTTAGAAAAATAGCTACATTTCAAATGAAAATGAGACTTACCAATGGGGTAAGTACTGTAGTGAGGGAAGGGACAACATCCAGCGCAGAGAAGAAAGGGATCACCCTGGACTCTTCAACAACAAAACAAAAAATAAAAAAAGGTAAAAAGAAAAAGGTGCTTGCACAAAACACACAAGCCCGGACAGTACCACGAGGTGTCACCACTGCCACCACAGAAGCATTAGTCTCTAAAAGAAATGAAAGAAACAATATGCGTAAACAATGGTGCAATAGCACTACAATGTTGCACTTTATCCCCTTAGTATCTTCCCTGAAAGAGATGACGTCTAGATGGGAACATATGTTGTTCTAGAACCTGAACATAGTTCTCTGCATTAATGGTGCCTTTCCAGACATGCAAGCTGCCCATGCCACAAGCGCTCATGCAACCCCATACCATCAGAGATGCAGGCTTCTGAACGGAGCGTTGATAACAACTTGGGCTATCCTTGTCCTCTCTGGTCCGGATGACATGGCGTCCCAGTGTTCCATAAAGAACTTCAAATCGTGACTCATCTGACCACAGAACAGTCTTCCATTTTGCCACACTCCATTTTAAATGACCCCTGGCCCAGTGCAAACGTCTGAACTTGTGGAGCTTGCTTAGAAATGGCTTCCTCTTTGCACTGTAGAGTTTCAGCTGGCAACGGCGGATGGCACGGTGGATTGTGTTCACTGACAATGCTTTCTGGAAGTATTCCTGAGCCC